ATAAAAACCTAATTTACTAAGATCAAGCAAAATCAAATAGGATATCGAACATAATTGAACAAAATCGAACACGAAATCGCAAAATCAAACAAAATTGTTGAAAAAAACTTAGCACAAAAAATCTAACACAACTGAACAAATTAAGCCGTAAAAATCGAACAAAAGTGAAAACTAAAGCCGAAAAATTGAACTATAACTGAAGAAATTAAACCGAAAAATTAAAATAGCTAAATAAATTGAACATATACATTTAAACAATTGAAGAAATTGATGATGAAATTGATAAACTTACCAATTTGATGATAGAATTTCCATCCAAAACATGAAAGAGAGAGAAAGAATTGCTTGAAATTTTAGAGAGAGAAGATGTGTGAAGGAGGAAGAAGTGAGCGTATGTCTAATACACGAAATTAATCTCCTCCGTTAGATTAGAATCAATGGTCTAGATTATTTGTTTTTAGTTTTCAGCCTTAGACTTGTTTTCACATGATCCATTCCCTATATATATATATATATATATATATATATATATATATATATATATATATATATATAATATTATCCTGGATCGATAGTTATATATTGGATAACATGCCATTATAATTATGTGATATTCTATTTGATTTATCTTCTTGTGTAGCTTTACAATATCAATTTGCTTGTTTTCTAATGTTATTGTGGATTCATTTGCAATTTTTATAACTTACAAGCTAATAACAAAAACATTGGAGGATAATTAATTAATTAGCTTACCAAGCTAATTAACTTGGAAATAAATTGTTTGTAATATAATATTGATCAAATAAGAAAATTTTGAAAGAAATTAACTGACAACAAGCTAGTCATTGGAGCAAAAAATTACTCGAAATATAATATATAGAGAGAGAATATAATATGACAATTCAAGCTAGAAGATCAAATAGCTAACCATTATTGTAGTTGCTCTAAGCTAATTGTATTGAATAATGGATGTGAATTTCATAAACAACAAGTGTTGGATGAGTAAATTTCACCGTGAGTCTACCCAACACAAAATTTCAATAACTGAAGTGTCTAATAATTTATATGAAAACTTCAAAAACTTGTATAAAATATCCAATTACCTATATAAAATGTCCAATAAATTTTATTCATCTCAACATGAGTTCGAACTCACACAACATTTTCTCCAATATACATGTACAATTGAAACAAAATAAATGAATAAATACATACCAAGGGACGTCATTCAATTAGTTTTAGGGGATGTGTTCTCTTGCCTTAAGTATTCTAAAATTTCATTTTGTATTATGGAAAGACTTTTAAGGATGACCTAATGACCAACAATATGTCAATATCAACTACTCGTAACAATTTGCATTGATGCCTTTTTATATATACATAAACAAACTAGAATATTCTTTCCCCTTAAACGAACTGAGTACAATTACTACTTTTATATATCAATATAAAAGATATGCAACAATAAAATTTACAATTACTACGGGAGTACAATTGATCTTGATGATTATTAATTACAATATTAGGCCAAGTTGAGAATTAGCACATTTATATTCCATATAATGCTCCTGAATTATAAACAAAATAGTCCATCTGAATTAAGTGTTCCACAAATTCCCGTGGTAGGTCATTCAAAGCAATAGATTAATTGAAGGCTTAATCTAACAAAATTATCATGAACTAATCAATTACTTAGCTTAATTTGTTTACTTTTAGTTGCAACAACTAGTTTGACAAAAAAATTTATCAACCTATTACAACTAAAAGTAAACGAAAGAAGTATATTATTATTATATCTCCAAGACATTTATGAGTGATCATTGATCTGATATTTCGTGCAAAACCAATTCCCAGGACGTGACAGACTGACGGGCTAAAAAACACTAGTTGAATAATTTTACCTTCTCTATTCAATCAAACCGTCATAAAACGTTCTTCATTCCTACATGTATACATTTTAGGTAATTAAAACCGTACCAAATTGTAGTAGATAAAGCTAAAACATCACGATACAAAAATTTGACATTAGTCTCAATAAACTTATCATAAGGTAGTGGAGATCAAAGATAGTGCATTGAGTCTCGTAATTTAGGCCATACACTTAAGTTGTGGTGGGTCTATGATTCATCACTACTTGAAGAATAATGTCAGAAAATTATAATTGAAACAAGAGCATCCACGAGCTAATAAGCAAACAACTTCGATATTTTTGGATGGATGTTCATCATCTTTTAGAGTTTACACCTCTCAATTCTCAAGAAATGACATTATTTTGTTGCTTTTATTGATTTAGATGTTGTTTTCAAATTATTGAAAGGTATGATATAATACTTTATAAGTATGTTTTAAATGAATGGATAAGAATTATTTGGTTGTACGTGTACTAGAGATCATTTGTGTACAATGAACTAGATATAAGATAAATTTCTATTGTACCATAAAATTGATCGCACATAAGATATATCACCTCTTTATATGTTTAGTAAAGACCCAAAGGTATAAATTTTATCTCATTTTGGATATTTATTATTGGAAGCTTTATTTGTTATTGAGAAAGAAGCTAAGTCAAACATTACAAATTCAAGATAAGAAAATTAGTACTCGACATTTGGTACAACAACACTTGTATAGTTGTATGCCATAACATCTGACGGACGTACTTAAATCTTTATGATCTAGTGAATTGACCAACAGTTAAAAATATATTTTACTCATACTTTATGTCACATAAAATCAAAGAAAATATAACACAAGAAGAATATGTGATTTTAGCATCTATTAAAAATGATTGTTGAAAAACTATAAATTAACTAAAAAGTCAATGGGTAATAAAAATCACCTTTTGAAGTTACTACTACAATTTTAATTTTTTTTTTTTTTTCTCGACAATACTACCTTATTTGTGTCACTAAATAAAAAGGTCATGTACAAGTAGGAAAAAAAGTAAATGTATATACAGCTATTCATCAAAAGGCCCTAATCTAGGACTATTACGATGAATATTCTCACAATCTATTACTTTTATTCGGATCTAAGATTTCATGGCTGACTATAGTTAAGTTTATTGGTCGGTGATTCTCAACGCACTCACAAAATTTTAAAAAAAGAAAATTAATAAAATGTAGACTAATTAGTACTTATTTGACATATTAATTAGTGTAACTAGTGGAGGTGTTAATAATTATGCTGATACTCAATAATGCATCAATTTGGATATCTAAATGTAGAAGAAAATGAGTAGGAAAACATCTTAATTTTCATGGTATTAGACTATTAGTTAGTTGAAGCAATTATGAATATCATATACTTCTACTAATTATGTAATTATGTATAAGCTATGATTTCACGGTTTTTTTTTTAGAGCAAAGATATTAGGTTTATTCAAAGGTAGAGATTATAACATTACATTGATTGTCTCTAGTTAAGTGCGTCAATCATGTAGTGTAATAAACAAATAATTAACTTATTAATGTATTTGAAGTGACTAATACTTTATAGTTTATGAAAGTTACTTTGAAGTAGAAGTGTGAACTTGAATGGGTAAACAGCTTATTACTTTATTTTCGTAATGATAACAAGTCTATGGAGTTGGTTGAGAGATAATTATTTATTATCTATTTTAGACATAACTGTCATGAACAACATGAGCGTTTACTTAAAGCTAGTAGACAACCATAAAAATAAAGTCATAACAAGTTGAATATGCTTTTTATGTATGTTAGTTCAAGCCCATTCATGATGAACTTCACTCTAGGTAAAACACCAAGAGTATGTTTGGTAATTGTAATTTTTTGGATGAAAACGGGTTTAATTAAAACATTATCGATTTATTGTTATCAAGTGTTTAATTAGAAGGTTTGGGTAATAATTACCATTTATTTCGGATAATGGTTTCTACCTAATTGTTTATTCCCCAAAATTTAAGGTAACAATCACACTTAGTCACTTCAAACAAAATAAAAGGAAAATCAGCACGTCTCATGTACGGTTGACCACACCATGTGCCCGCTTGTAAATTAACAAAGTAACCCGTATAACACTAACCGAGTAACCACTATAATACTAACTGAGTAACCCTTATAGCAATGATGAAGTAACCCATGTAAAACTAACCATGTAACCCCTATAATATTAACAAAGTAACCCCTATCATAGCTGACCATACAGTGTGGCCAACCACATGTAAGAATTTGTGAAGAAAGTTAAGTTTCAATGATTAATTTCCATGTTTAAGACAAATAAAGGTAAGAGTTTATTGGTCATATGATCCAAAAACCCCTAAGTTTTATGTGTCGTTACGTTCATTCTCTATAAATCTCGATGCAATCAACTAGAATTATTTATCTTTTTTTTTTTTTAACTATTATGGGTTACTTTAATAAAATAATGTAGGATGACTTATTTTAATTGAGGGGTGACTTGACTTTTTCATCTGTGTTAAATTGACTTCTACATTTTAAATTAAGGTGTGAATAACGTTGCGTCCTCATAACTAGTTAGGAATGATTTATTGTTGATCTCGACCATGTGTATTTGAATTAGATGATTCATAACTAGTAGCATTGTTTAGAAATGATTTGTTATGGATCTTGTCCATATGCTCCTAGCTACATCTAACCCGAGTGAATCAAGCACAATTTCTCCATTTCAAGAAAATATAATAGATATTACCTCTATTGTTCCAAAATTAATGACACGATCAAATACGGTACATTATTTGTCATGCATTACTTCAATGACCTTAAATATATATGTAAGAAATTATAGAAATGAATACATATTTGAATATTTGATACTCCGTAGCATATTACAACACTTAATAACTTATATATGAACAAAAAAAAAACAAATATAAACATACATATATATATATAATATATATAGAACTAAGATCATGTGAGAACCAAGGTGAATAATGAGAACTAGGAACTCATCTCGACCGTTGATTACACTTTATCTAAAGGCCGAGATCTCACCCGCCTTTTTAAGGGCAAAATAGGAAAATCAATACTTTGAATGACTACCCCAAAAACTCATCAGTTTCTTTTTTCCCTTTCTCTCTCTTCTTCACTCTTTCTCTCTCTTCCTTCAAATTCTCCCTGGTGCGATTTTTCATTGTTCTTCGCATATCAAATTCGTGAATTTTTTCTTCCATCTTCGTCACCTGTTATTTTGAACAAGTAAGTTATTTGATTTTGTTTTTGTTTTTCTTTTTTATTTAATTAGTTACTGCGTATTTAATTCTCGATTATTTGGAATTTGAAATTAGGATTTTCGCTATTTTTTCCTATTTATCGCATATCTGATTCATTGAATATGTTCTTGGATCTTTGTTGTTGGTTTTTTATGAACAAGTAAGTTAATTTGATTTCGATTATCGTTTTTGAATTTGGTTTAATTCGAATTTTTAATATTATGTGATTTCGATTGCGAAAACTAGGGTTTTCACAATTTTTTGTTTCGGTATTTGTGATTACTTTGTGTTTTCTCTTTAATTTATAATTAGATCAATAATTTCGTGCTGTTTTGGTTGCAATTTTATGATCTGTTGCTATTCTTTGTGCAATGACATATAATTTTTGAGTTTTTTAAAAGTGCAATGCATTTCTAATTGTTTTCCAGGAGATAATTCAATGGTGAATTGGATTATCAGGGATATGCTTTGGGTGGTTGGATACTAATTTACTTTTGGATAATTACTTTTAATAAAATCTTATTTACTTTTATGAGTTTTTATTTTACTTTTATGCCTTGAGTTCGCAATCGCGATTTGCGAGGCAATAGTATCTTGTTCAATGTATGGATGTAGTTGAAATGGCTTATATTTCACTGGTACATTAATCTCTTCTTGTATGAAATGTATGATAGTATAGCTTAAATTCTTAACTATGAGTTTATGTCTTGGAGAAAGCTGATTGTGGTAGTTTGTACGTTCTTAACATTGATTATTGTTGTTGTTCTGCATTTCTATCAGAATTTCACTTTACTAAGGCTTCAGTTTATTGATAAAGGTGGTTTGGGGAATTGGGGGTTTTACCTTGTGTTGGATTTTTAAAGTGGGCTATTAGTGGCTTAGTGCAGGTAGCTTTTGGGATCTGCAAACCTTCATTCGGACTATACCATGGAATCTAATAATGATAGAACATACTACGAAATGTGCATAATGAAGGATACATTGCTTATATATCTTAAGTAAGACTATCCACATTTTGACCCTTGACATATTGATAAGGTATTTCTGGGCTGCCTTCTGGAGATGTGGGATTATGCTTTACAAATGAGTTATAGGTAATTTAACCTTGATGGGGTTATGCTTGCCAATAGACGATGGTGGTTGATGTGGTTTATTCTGCTTGTCATGTATCTTCTCTACATCGCTCTAGTATATCAGGCATATTGGATGTATAGAGTATATAAAAAGGGATTATAGGCATCTGAATGCATTTTGTGCATTCCACTATAGTATTGCTGCATTATGTAATGATATTTTAGTCAATTTTATCTATAATAATTTTATCCAGGCTTTTGTATAGCACAACAAAGGAAGGAACATATCCATTTGTTGAAATATTTCATACCCCAAAGCAAATATGTCAGATCCTTCTATATCTAATACTCCGTAGTCTTTTGGGATTTGGACTATGTAGGCATCCGTTTTTAGGATCATACCTCCTTTCAAATTAGATTTACTTTTGAGATCATTTTATTTACTTTTGAGATCGTTTTATTTTTTTTATTTACTTTTTAAGTAATTTTATTTACTTCGACAATATACACTAGCCTACTAGCTCAATAGCTAGAGCATTGTACAAGTGCACAAAAGATGTGGGTTCGTATCCCACGTAGGTTTATTTATGAGATGAAATTATTTCTTTCAATTGTTTGTGTGTATTTCATTCAGTTTACTTTAAAGTCTTTTTTATTCACTTTAGATTCTTTTTTATTTACTTTTAAATACCCCAATCTTCTTGCTAGTTGGAGATCGTATCTTAATGCAAGAGCTTCAGCAATTGCAGGAGAAGTGTAGTATGAGCATACTTTTCCAGCAGCTACAACCTTATCCAACTCATCCATGATCACTGTCCCAAGCCTAATAGCCCGCCCCGCTCAAACATATGCATCCATATCCACCTTCTTGTAAATGATCGGGTTGAGTGTTGCTGCCCTGCCATGCAAGCCCTACCAAGGCTGCAACTGCTGCCTTGCAGGTCCTGCCAAGGCTGCTGCTGCTGCTGGCCCGGCCTAGGCTGCTGCTGCTGCTGCTTCCCTGCCATGGCTTGCTGCTGCTATGCTATTTCTGCTCTACCTCCTGCTGCTGCTATGCTACTTTTGTTCTACTGCCTGCTACTATAAATGTTGCTCGGGAGTTCTTAAAGTTGAGCGAAACGGGAAGCTGCTATGAGCAAGAGTGCAGCCTATGCAGGAGGAGCAGCAGAAGCATGAGCAGAAGTAATACTATTTATTTACTTTAATGATGTTTTAATTTACTTTTTAGCCTTTTTTTATTTACTTTTGAGCTGTGGTATTTTGAGTTCAACACTTTATCACCAAACAGTGACATGCCCCATTTCCAACTCCAACCCCTGCCAGATACGAAATAAAAGAACAAAACTATGTTACCATAACCAAGGGCTTTATTGCAGTTTTTTTTATAGATTATTTTATTTACTTTTAAGATTATTTGGTTTACTTTTGAGTAATTTTTTATTTATTGTGAATATTTTACATAGACTAGCCTACAAGCTCAATTCTTCATTTGCATTACTTATTTTCTCTATACAATTAGTACTACTTAAATAGATTGATAACACTAGCCTACTAGCTCAATCGGTAGAGCATTGTGCAATTACACAAAAGATCTGGGTTCAAATCCCACATAGGTTCATAATCTTATACTACGTATTTAAGCATTCATAGCAATTGGAGACTGTCCATAAGCATTTCTTCATAGCAATTTCCTAATTTTAGAAGTAGAGAAGGTGAATTTCATTTCTATTTACTTTAATAAATATTTCATTTACTTTAACTTATTTTGTATCTACTTTTATTACTAGAAACTCAAGCTCACTTAGATGATTAGAGATATGTTCGCCCTAATTAAAGATATGTTCGCCGTAGACTAAATGGATGTCGTTGACCCATGCTCTAATTAAACCCGTCTTTTTAAGTTTACTAATTTGCTTTTGAGTAGATATAATTTACTTTTGAGTAAATACTATTTACTTTTGAGTTAATATTATTTATTTACTTCTTTTTTACAAGATATTATTTATTTACTTGATGCTATTTTAATTTACTTTTTATCGCTTTTTATTTACTTTTAAGCTATTATGATTTACTTTTGAGATATAATTATTTACTTTTGATTTATTTTTGAGCTATTTTAAATTACTTTAGAGATGTTTTTTGAATTACTTTTTAATTTCTCTATTTACTTTAAAGATAGTTTGATTTACATTATGGGTTTTTCTATTTAATTTTGAATGTTATGTAGACAATATTTCTAACTAGCCAATACCTTTTTTCTTTGTGATATTAGAGAAAGGTGAGATTGTTGGAAGTTGAAATAGAGCTTAGTTTTTGACATGTAGCTTATTTACTAATACATATACATCTATTCTTTTGACATATACTTTTTATTTATTTTGATTTACTTTTGAGGCATTTTAATTAGCTTTAAAGTGTTTTATATTTATTTTTAGAGATAACCTATGTAGGAATTGAACCTACACCTCTATGCATCCGCATAGTGCTCTACCACTTGAGCTAATAGGTTTACTTTTTTTTTGAAGGAACGTTAGACGAGCAATATTATTAAGTTAAATCAAGCTCCACCAAAGTTAAAAAGTTTTGGGGAAAATTGTCAAACCATACAAACATCGACTCACCACTATTGTATTTAGCAATAAGGTGTGCTAAATATTACTCCCCCGACGAATATGACTACATTTGAAGGAAGTGATGAAAGCTTGCTTCAATCTCTTAATGTCTTCGTACAGTAGCATCAAAGGAGAGTATCCTGCAACTTCATGCTCAATTTATGCACTACATTATGCGCGTTGCCCTCTAATTCAATCTTCATCAGCCCCATTTGGCGTGCAATCAGAACCCTTATCCTCGGTGCTGCAACCTCTGCACTACTGCAAAAGCTATTATGCATCCCTTTTTCAATTTACCATAAAATATAATTGATTTACTTTTACTTTGTTTCTATCTACATTTGAAATTGAGTAAATAATAGGATTCATTGAGGCATTTTGTCAAACACTTAGTGTGCATTAAGAAATCAACAACAATAATTAAATAACTGGTAAAGTAAAATGTAAATTTGATATCAAAATTGAACGTATGAAGAAATTCAAAGAGTTCAATTTAAGAATTAACGATAAACCCTAGGTAATGAAATCGAAATTCAATGATTATAAAACAGAGAGAAGTAAAACATCTTACCTCAGAAGATGCTTCAACAGAGTAGGGAAAGCACAGAATCCGCGTCAATAGAATAGAGGAGAACAAAAATGGCACAAATCTAGGTTTTACCTAATTTGTATCGAAAAATTACACAAATCTGGGTTCAAATTGTAGATTTCAAGACGATGATGAGTTTCAGCAACATGAATTTCAAAAATTCTTGTTGAATTGATGAGATTTGTGCTTGAAAATGTTAAAGGAGAACGAAAATGGCGTTGGTGAGGAGAGAGAAAATCGCGGAGGGGAGGAGAGAGAAACTTAGTCAATTCGTCTGATTTAATTTGGGCCGTTAGATCGCGTGGTTTTGGTGTTAGATCTGACGGTCCAGATTAGTTACTAGTTTCTATTATAGGATTGGTTCTCATTATACACATGTAATATATATATATATATATATATATATATATATATATATATATATATATATATATATATATATATATATATATATATATATATATATATATATATATATATATATATATAGAAATAGGATCATATGAGACCACCCCCCTTATGTGAGAACCTTATTATATGTGAGGACATATTACAACCGTTGGATTAATTGCATCTAATGGCTACAATTTATCCCAATCAAATGTAATGTCAAATACAAACTTCCAGTGCTTTCTCTCTCCTCCTTCATTCGACGCTCCAATTTTCTTCCTCCTCCTTCAATTTCTCTGCTCCCTTCTTACTACTCTCTTCCTTTGCTTTGATTCTTCATCAATTCTGCTTCTAACTTCATTGATTCTTTGTCAAGGTAATTTTCGTTGATTTTAGTTTGATTTTCGTTGATTTTAGTTTGATTTTCTTTAATTAAAGTTTGATTTTCTTTGATTAAAGTTTGAATTTCTTTGATTAAAGTTTGATTTTCGTTGATTATAGTTTGATTACTTAATGTTTTTGTCAATTTTTTTGCGATTTTTGGCGATTTTCGTGCGATTTTTGGGGATTTTCGAACTTATTAGTTGATTCTAGTTTTAATTTTGCTTCATTTGTTAATTTAGGGTTCTTTATAGTGTAATTCGAACTTTTATTTATAATTTCTGAGGTTATGAATGGTTATAGAGATTGATTTTGTAAATATTGGTACTTGCATTTCACTAATTTGTGCTTAAATTTTGATGCACACTAAGTGTTTGACAATATTCCCCAATGAATCCTATTATTTTATCAATTTCAAATGTAGTACATATTTAATTGATGATCTTCTTATTTAATATTTCCTAAGATTGTATTGAGTCTCGGCTTAGATCCTATGACCAATAACGTTGTACAAGAATTGAAAATCGAACCTAGCAGAGTTGTCTTAAGACTGATTTTGTTTTGGTGGGTTGGATGTGTGATTCTGGTGAAAAACAAGATTGATGGACAATCTTATGTAGTGAAGAAAGTCAAGCTTAGTGTCAACTTGGAAATTCGATATAATGATGTTGTCAGATATTGTGAATCTTTTGGTTGATTAAATAGTATTAATACCGTAATCACACATGTAAAACTATAGTACATTAACAACTATTCCAATATTTTCTCAAACAATGAACTAGTTTACAGAAATAATATCATATAGTTTAATCTATCGTATACTCTAGCTTCTAGGTGTTGTGACATTTACAACATCAATTTCTACGGTTGTATTGACTGTGGGTTGTCTTACATGTGTCTTTACGTTTTGTTTCCTATTGATGTATAAGGCTTGTCCTCGTGGTGTCTCTGGCTAGTTTGGGTGTTAATTTGACCTCAGATAGTTGGATGCAAATATGTCAAGAACTTTTTTTTTTTTTTTTCTGTTGTATGCTTGTTAACTTTGTGATTATAATACTAGACTTGTCTGTAACCATTTAAGAATTTTCAAGCATGAAAATGAGCTACATCATACTGATCACATTACAATATAATTTGGTCTTCAAAGTAAACATGGGCATAATATTACAGTGTATTTTACTTTGTTTAGTTAAATATCTTTAGTTTAGCTAAATATCTAAATTGGATAACGATTGAAAAGAGATTAGAAACCCAAGCCATTATTTCCTTGTCCTATCAGTCAGCTGATTCATTTGGAGTCTCAATATTTTGCTCATTTGTCAAATGAACAATTATTTTTTACTCATTTGTCAAATGTGCAAAAAAATCCAATGCTCCTTTGTCAAATGAGTAAACTATTTAATGCTTATTTGTCAAATGAGCAAATGATTCTTGCTCATTTTGTCAAATTAATGCTCATTTGTGAGCGTGTTTGAATGTTTTAAATACGTTAGCCTACTAGCTCAATGGTAGAGCATTGTGCACATGCACAAAAGATGTGGGTTCGAATCCCACGTAAGATCATTTATGTAAAGTGGAGACACAAGTTTGTATGAGAGTTTAATTGTAAAAGTTTATGTAGTTATAAACCATTTCAAACTAGTTTTTTGCTCATATAATTTAGTACGAATTTAATTTGTTTTTTTTTTTATTAATTTTGTTTGTTTATAGAGATAACCTATGTAGGAATTGAACCTACATCCTCTATGCATTTGCATAGTGCTCTACCAATTGAGCTAATAGGTTTTATAATATGTTTTAAATCATTTTCTATGTTATAAATTTTTAATCAGTTCATTTGATAAATCAACAAAGAATTGTTTACTTATTTGATAAAATGAACAAAGAATTGTTGCTCATTTGATAAATGAGCAAAGATTTGTTTGCTCGTCTAATAAATGAGAAAAAAATTATGTCCTCAATTGATAAATAAGCAAATAATTGCTTGCTCATTTGACAAATGAGCAAGATTTTTTTGCTCATTTGACAAATGAGCAAGAATTATTTGCTCATTTGACAAAATGAGCAAAGAATAATTTGCTCATTTGACAAAATAAGCAAAGAGTAATTTGCTCATTTGAAAAATGAGCAAATAATTGCTTGCTCATTTGATAATTTTTGTAATAGTCAATAATCATAGGTCACGATCAAGAATTATTCACGAATTATATTTCTCTCCTCAGACTTATAGATTAGAAGAGACGAAGCATTCAATCCTAAACCATACACTAGAAGAAACAATGCAAAACAAAACCATGATAGCATAAAATATGAATTATAGACCTTTATAACCTTAGTTCTTCTTAAAGCTCATAATTTGTCAGCCATGAGTTGACAGTATGCATTTGACCCCTCTATAGAAATTAAACAAATTTGCAGTAAGTTAGCAACTTAAATAT